CTTTTAATGCCCACCAAAAAAAACCCATCTGGGAATTAAGCGGAGCGAATAAAAAGGGGGTGGATGGGTGGTTGGGGGGGGCAGCGATCCCGTATTTGGGGCCTTTTTTGCGTTGGGAAATCAGCAGCGTTCGTAAAGACGATGCAGTCTTCACGAACGCTGCCCTCTTTGTCCTGAGTGGTCACGCAACTTGATCAAATTCTGCAAGAGGCCTGAACTCGCGGCTGCCGCTTTTTCAAGTAGCAACACATACGGAAACGGGGAGACAAAGGCAAAGTCGACCCCCCCCCCCATAGCTTTGACGGACTGTTGGGAAAAGTTATGTTTGCGAGCACCTACTAAGCTTGGACGGGCACACGGGAGGATGGGTGGTTCGCTCCACGGCCGGCTGCCTTTATCTCCCCAATTCTGATGTTATCCGCACTGCGCCATGTATACATTTAAGGCTGAGTCGACCCACGGGAGGCCCAAGACTGATTCAGAGATTCATCACTGATGTCGGCCGTGCAAGGGAATCGAACTCGGGTCACCGGTTTCGTGGCGTAGTAGACTCACCAACTACGCCACAACCGCTCCCCAAAAATAGGATGTGGGAAGCCACGCAAACACACGCACGCGTGGACACGCAGGGACACGCACGCGTGGACACGCAGGGGGCACGTACGCGTGAACATGCACGCACGCACACGCGTGGACACAAAATGAGAGTAACAAACGGGAAAGAGGGGCGAGGCAGGAGATCTCTTTTAAGCCGACGGGGGGAATGGATCTGCGCTTTGTTGGGCTCGGAAATTCTCGGGGCCGACCTCCGGCTGTCAGACGAGGCGCTGCGCTCGGCGGCGGCGGCGGCGGAGGAGGAAGAGCCAGCGTGAGGCTCCCTTGGAGAAGCCTGACAAGCGTGATGGATTAAAGGGCCGAGCCAACAGCGCCCCCCCCCCCTCCTCCTCTCAGCGTAGATCCGCACTACCCCCCCTCCCCTCCTCTCCTCCTCACGCCCCATCAAAACCCCACGGCCACCACCTCGCCAACCCCACCACCTCACACGGCGATTCCCTTGCACAATGCAAACAAGGGATAAGAAAAGACAGCGGAGGGGGTCAGGAGAATGTGGGGGGGGGGAGGCGGGGTGGGGGGGGGGGCGGTGGTGACGGCAGGGACGGTGGGGCAAGTTGCGGAGGGGAAGAGCGGAGCGGATTTCAAGGGAGCTGTTTATTTCAGCCTCAGTGCATCACAATCGCGGAGGATCAAATGAAGAAAGAGGAGAGAGAGAGAGAGAGGGGATAAAAAAAACAGCTTCATTGAACTATGCTTGAATTTCAAATGCTCTCTGGTAAACTGTCAATGGATCAGGCTCAACCCTGATGGGTGCACAGTCGTGGCGAGATAATTGCAGTACATTTTTCTCTGCCTGAATTGGCACACCGCCGCACGAAACAAACTGTCATTGTCCCCTCTTGATTTCACAGTTATCACTTTCGGATCCGGGGTTGAGGGGGGGGGGCGGCTAGGTGTGACCTTGTATGCCACGGGGTCGGGCTGCGATCGCCGCACATCTTCAAAACTGAAGGCACATGGGTGACTCGCAGAGGGAGCACCACTGCCCCCCCCCCCCCCCCACGATGAAAGCGCTGCCCTCGACATTAACTGTGTAGCGATCGCCTCGCTTCGAGTTGGGATCTGCCCAGACCAGTGTTCTACACTCATTTCCAGAGGTGGGGAAGGGGGGGGGGAGGCACTTTTGCCGAAACGACATCATCGGTTTGAGGGTCCGCCACACCATTTGAAACTATTTTTTTTTGACAGCACGATGGTGATGGGGGTATTTTCACATGTTGTGTATTGTCGGGGGTCTGCAGGTCAGAGGTCGCACTCAAGGCCACCAGGGCCCGCCAGTGACACGTGGGGCTTGCAATGAAGAGCACTGGCCCAGATCATCATCCTTACAGATCGATCAAATGAGACGTGCTTACCCAGTGAGCATGGAACGTTGGGCCAACGTTCGTCCAATGGTTCCAACCACATGTCAACGATGGAGAAACGTTGCCTGTGGGCTGCCATCGGTAGTCGTCATACGAATCGACTGGCCTCTGTCACATGATTTGGAATTTCCACCACTGACAAAGGCCCTCCAGTCAAAGTGAGTGGCTCCTGCTGCATTACAAGTGTTGCGCACACTTTCACTTGAACATTCGAATAATTTAGCTTTTCATTCATTCAACTATTGACATTTACGTGTCAGCCAACATGGCAGTGCAGGAGGAGGTGGAGCAGTGATGCAACGGTTAGCACACTGTGCTGAAAACCTGGCAAAACCCAAGTTCGACGCCCCCTGCCACAGTTAACGACAACGGCGAGCGACATCTAAAACCCGCCCTGCCCACGGAACGCACATTGTCCAGCACGGCGAAGTATGACCCAACAAACCTCTTGACCGACGCGACGTGGGGAGGCCTTCATCCAGTAGCGGATTGACACTGCGAGCTGTAACTGATTTTCATCATCATTGTAACAGTGCAGTGGCGTATTGCAGCGTTGTTCAAGAGAGGGAGGCGAGAGTGGTTGGTCGTCAATGTGACAACAATGGTTTCCTGTCCCGTCCCCCCTTTTATTTTGTGCGAGTGCCCTTCCGTGACAACTTTGGCAGCGACCCTGGGAGCCATTTTTATCCAGAGCGTGCGCAATAAGGTACACCATTAGGCAACCACCGTCAATAATACCCAGTCCGCTCGCGCGAACAGCCAGGCTTCTTTATGAGTGTAAAACTCAACCAAGTCAATCCAATTTATTTTTCCTTAACACGTGGCACCCTTCTGGCACAAATCTGCCACCAAAAAGCTTTTTTCCCCCCATTGCACTCCTAGATGTTAAATTTCGATTTAAAGCGTTCGTGACTGCAGGGATTCATCTTCTTGGTTCTTTCGGTAAAGTCACGTAGAAGGGAAGTAATAAAATAATAAAAATAAAACATAATAAAATAATTCTCACGACATTTCGGCCACAACGCAAGCAGCCGTCCGTCTTCACCCGAGGACGGCTGCTTGCGTTGTGGCCGAAACGTCGTGAGAATTATTTTATTATGTTTTATTTTTATTATTTTATTACTTCCCTTCCACGTGACTTTACCGAAAGAACCAAGAAGATGAACTCCTAGATGTTATCATCCGCTCTTTTCTTAGCTTGGGGAGCTGCATGTATGCAAGCCAGTGTGGGTGCAAGCTCACGGTGATTTTTCTATTTCGTCGTTTTTTTTTTGTATAATATCACGCTTGTTTCGCTACTTCTCGGTAGTGGGGCAAAGTTGACGTGAACGGCTGATATTCTTAGTGACATGCCTGCCAGGATGGAAATGGAGATTATGATGGAAACCGCTTCTGTGTTTTTTTATGGGGATTTAAAATGTAAACAAGCCCCACACACAATACTAGGAAACCGACTTTCCCTGTGCCCCTTCAGTCTGAACTCGCGAAAACGCGGTCCTTGAATAACTTCTGTTCTAAACTCATCCAACTGCCAGGGAGTAAGTAATTGACCTTTCTCTTAATGGGTTTCTCTCATCCCGCGAAGCAATTTATGATCTGTTGCAAGTTTGCAGACCTTTGCGGCATGCAGATCAATTTAAATGTAGCCGCAGACAATGAGTTATGTCATTGCCCCGCTATAAACGGTCTTATTCCACTGCGCTTTGGTGATATCTCTTGACCATGATGTACGTCCGTTTAACTATCAGAAACGGAAGCGTGTGTTAGGCTCAATGAAAAATGTGAACGCTGCAATAAATACTACTTTTATTAGGAAGCCACTCTTACACCCAGATTGAAAACCCATTTCTTTTAGCGCTGCTTTTTGTGTTTAGTTTATTGTCCTTCTCCCGCACCTCCTGATGTGCACGGTTGTCTGCGTACGGTGCGAAAGAAGTTCAACGTAAGAAAACAAAACTTTACAGTCGAAACAAACGTAGGGGCAAGAAACCCGCAATCGGTGGCAAGACTTCAACCCAATTCTGCGCAGCCCTAAGCACAAAAAGGCAACCCAATTGGTCGTTGTTTACTCTTCAGCTTAATCTGCAAGTAATCTGTCACGAAACAACCCCAATGATGGGATTTATCAGGCGCCAAAGCTCTTGCAGAACCGCCTCCCGTGGAATCTCCACATCGGCCAGTCTCCTCGCACGCCCCTGTTCGCCGATGATGATCATGCCGCAGACGGTTCCGATTAAACTCGCAGATACATCTCTTGGGGCGGGCCTTGTTCATCGAGGACGATGCCTATTACGGCGTCGCAAGCTGTGCTGGATCTGCTGCGGAGGGCCGCACGACCGACGGTGTTCGTGCGCCAGCGGCGTCGGCCGCTCTGCCGGCCGGCCGGCTCCCTCTCTCTGGCCGCTCGTTCGATCACGTGCCTTTGGCGTGCCACAAACTTGACCTCTGAACCATTTCCCACGTTGAATATGTATTGTCTTCTTCTCCCCCCCCCACCAAATTCATCCTCCCCGCCCCCCACCAAATTCATCCCGATTGTGCTTTACGCCACGTGACTGACGAAGAAGCATCCAATCCCATGTCTGGCACCAATCTCTTATGTCGTCGTCGTCGTCATCGTCAAGCCATTGTCTCTTAAAGCCTTCCTACCTTTCCGGTTCATTCCATCGTTCCAAACAACGTACTCTTACTGTCCTTGTTCTTGTCCATCCTACTACATATGTGACCAAAATAGTTGGCAGTTTCCATACACGCGCACAGGTGTACAAAAGCACACACACACGTGCACAGCGGGGAGTAGCTTCGGATGGATTGACGTACGGACGTACGGACAAACGCACTGCAGATAGATACATATATATATCATTATTATACATACACACTCGTGTGTTCGGTCATCTCAACCGCACACTCGACTGAATCGCACTTCTGTCTGGACGAGGAACAGCTGCACCCGGGCCACCTCCAACAGGCAAGAAGCGTGAATGGGACAGTAATAGCATCTCACGTTTATTGATTGCGTCTGGATTTGACGGCTGGGGAAAGGGAAGGGACTCGGGCAGTGTTGGCGGTGGCAGAGGGAGGACGTGGAATCGGAAGCTGTGGGGAGTGCAGAGGGAAGTTCGCGTCCTCGTCTGCGTCCGACCCTGTCGTTCATCACCCTGCCGTGTGGAATTCACACGAACGGTTGATAATTCACGAACCATTGTTAGCAAAAAAAAAGAAAAACGAAACCGTCGTCTCAGCCACTCCTCCTCTCGCTCGTTCAGCTTTCATCCTGCCGTGTGTACAACAGGTGACATTAAAGTGCGAGTCTGGGATTCATTGTGCATGCATTACGCCTACATGTTCATGTCCTAGGTATGCATGTTGAACTTATTTCGCGCCGTACGCAGCCAACCGTGCTAATCGGAGGTGCGGGGAGAGGACAACGAACCTAAACACAAAAAAAACCAGTGCAAAATAAATTAGTTTCCCCGTCTAGATGGCAACGTGCAATGCTCGAGTGGCTTCCCAATTGGCTTAAACGAAGCCCCATGCCTCCGTCGCGCTGCCATCGGGTGGCGAGGAGCCAGCGGCGATCCTCGCTCGGGGGGGGGGGGGTTTTGTGAAATATTTCGATGCGCCTCCTTGCCACGAGCGGCGACGCCGACAAGCTGAAGTCGGAGGCAAAGGAAGTCACAATGAAGAGGGCCCCGAATGCCTGGGCGGGGGGGGGGGGTGTGGGGGGTTAAGGACATTAGGCTCCCTCGCCGTGCCGGCTCGCCCCGTGGATCATTGCCGGCCACCGCCGCCACCTGCAGGCGTTCGTTACGAGCTTGCAGGCTTCTGCACCGGCACAGATGATGAGCCGTGCGGAGGAACTCTAATCAATTAGTGCAGCAGCAGCAGCAGGAGCGATGCCTCTCGGTTCACCGCTGGTGGAAAAATCCTGGCGCCGACGTCCGGCTCTGGTCCATTTCCTTCCTTCGCCAAATAAAATGTTGGCCGCACTCAATCGGCCGCGTGGGCTCTGTGCGCGCGCGAGGGCCACGGGCATTGCGCGCTGCTCGCTGATCCCCCGCAATGCGTGCAGAGTGAACGTTAGCCACGCACCCGCACCGCCGTTCCTCGTCCTCTCCGCACCAGTGCCGTTCATGGTTCTGTCCTGAGGTGAATCTAAGCGCCGTGTGCTGTTGTTAGGAACTTGCCATCGGCGTGGTGCCTTGCTCTGCATTTCCTTTTGTTTCGTTTCGAAAGGCTGAAACGATTTGAAGAGCGACAACGTTTCGAATGGCTCGCCTGGTATGTACACTGAAAAAATTAAATTCTGCGTAATTTTTTTCGTTACGTGTAGAAAATCAAGAATTGCAAACACCCTGCATGTGGTCACTCCATCTCCATGGTAATGGATTCACAGCGCGGGGGACAACCTGATAATCACAGAATTCAGCACGAGCGTCACATGGGATTTTTTTTATAATTTCTAAATGGCCTTGCATAGCAGGCCACTGCGATACATAAAAGAGCCCATTTTGTCTCCGTATCCATTAGGAGCCTGTGTTGGTCTTATAATTCCATTACCGACGAATGGCACGATATTAATGTAAGGGGAGCTAAGTTAAATAATTAAATAGTCCCGCCTATGGCATGTAGCTGAAAAAGCTCCCATCACGTGGAGTGAAACGTCAGACATCACGCCGAGCAACGCGCCACGTGGCCTGATAATACACCGAGGGGCTCTTACGAAATGTAAGAGTGGTTGTTTGTTTGTTAGATGACTTCTCAACGACCCCCCTTTGCCGGGCTTGACTTTCCACAAATTAGAAGACGTAACACGGCGAGCCCCGGGCATCACTGCGACGTGCCACACGTGCGCCACATCAGGCAGCGCATTCTGTACACCTGACTCCACGGCGCCCTGCCTTGGGATGAAGCCAGCGCTTCGCCGCAGAAACGCCATCGAATATTGCCGTAGGTCACCCACTATTCCTATGGCCAACCCCCCCCCCCCCCCCCCCCACATTATCCCCCAATAACCAAGGCACCGCGTACCAGAGGTGTGGACTCGAGTCATGTGACTTGGACTCGAGTCAGACTCGAGTCATGAATTTGATGACTTCAGACTCGACTTGGACTTGCATAACAATGACTTTGTCCCACCTCTGAGGTGTGGACTCGAGTCATGTGACTTGGACTCGAGTCAGACTCGAGTCATGAATTTGATGACTTCAGACTCGACTTGGACTTGCATAACAATGACTTTGTCCCACCTCTGAGGTGTGGACTCGAGTCATGTGACTTGGACTTGAGTCAGACTCGAGTCATGAATTTGATGACTTCAGACTCGACTTGGACTTGCATAACAATGACTTTGTCCCACCTCTGAGGTGTGGACTCGAGTCATGTGACTTGGACTCGAGTCAGACTCGAGTCATGAATTTGATGACTTCAGACTCGACTTGGACTTGCATAACAATGACTTTGTCCCACCTCTGCCGCGTACTCACTGGGTATCGATTCTGCCCCCCAACGTCAATATCTGGCCATAATGAAACCCAGCACCGCCACCTCTGCAGCGTTAGGCCTCTCACTCTCTTTATGAACTTTTTCACGCCATTGATTTTTCTGCCACGGCTAAAACGCCAAAGCCATTTCCAGGGCCGTGTTATTAATACAGACTCTCGCGCAAAGAGGGGGGCGGGGGTGAGGCTGCATTGGCCGCACTGCGTTTAAAAACAAATGCGCAGCGAGGGGACACTCGGCGTTTCCGTGACACGCACTTGCGAGACTCGAACGCATCCCGTTTAAGTGAAAGGGTAAAATGGCACCTGAAAGAATCGCGCTGGCGCGGGAAGAGTGGCCCACGCGTGGCTCGTTGCTGTGATGTCTGAATCGACCGCGGCGATCGAGCTGCGGATAACGGGGAATCCCGAAGGTATTTACCAAACGCCAGCAACGGACGGGAGCAGTTCGCGAGGTCACGAGAATTGCCTCGGTTACTTCACGGATATTCGTTACGTTTGAGAATTCGGTTGAAATTGGCAACCTTCCTTGAAAGGGAGATATGTTCAGTTTACCGATGCTATGTAGCACACGTGAGATTTGAATAATCACAAACACTGTTTACTGGCCAGGGAAATCCTCAATGAGGCTCGTGATTCTATTTCTGCGTGTATAGCCCTCTGTCAACCCACTGCTGGATAATGGCCTTCCTAAGCCATGTTAGCCATGGCAGATGTTTGGCCATGCTTTACTGCGCTGCTCGGTGCAGGATGGTAAAGGGGGCTTCCTATGATTGGTTCAGATATCGCTCGCTGCTGATGTTAGCCGTGGCAGGCAATCAAACTCATGTCGCCCGTTCAGAGTGCAACGTGCTATTCTTTTTTATTTTGAAGAATTAATTAAATTCAAGATTTTCACTGCCATTTCACATGTCTACAATCTACCCACTCCACTATGAAGTACAGAATTATAGTCTAGTTCGTGGTGTGCCCACTGCACTATGAACCCGGTGACCTCGCGACCTCGGTTCAATTCCCAGCTATGGCGAATAATGCAGCGGGCCCCCGTCACCAAACTAAACTGCTCAGCACAGTGAAGTTTGGTCAAACAACTCCCACGACCCACGCAGATGAAGCGAGGCCTTCATCTGACAGTGGGTTGACAAAGAGCTGTGAATATTTTTATTTTTTGTAAATGTGTTTGTGCTTATACTGGCCCTGAGTTGAGATGATTTAAACAGAGCAGAGCCAAACGGCTTTGTGAACATTTCTCTGTGGCCCGTGGCACGAGCAGATACGGCCATCATCACATCCCTGTACAAGCCAAATCCACTGCTTAAAGCCACTAGGGACCTCAATAAGCTGTGAAGCCAATTTTGACCACAACAACAAAATCTACCAACGATCATGAACGACAACTTAAAGCGTAGGTTTTATACACTGTAGCGTAACGATAACGATGCATATATTTAACACGTACGGTTTCTCTGTCGCTTGTAATCCACGTGCGGTTTTCGAGTTGGGCTTCGTGTAGATGCCCGCAGGAGTGCGTGGTGGTAACAGCTTGAGAGAAGAAACGGCCACTCAAAATGGCAGTTAAAAACCTGGAGAACCGCACTGGAATATCGCAACGAATCCAAATCAAAATGAGAATCTGTATTTATACTGGAGGAATCCGATGAGCTATGATGCTCTTTTTCACAGATGTTTAGTGGGGGTATACGGTAAAAACGTTACAACAACAAACAGTACAAAAACACGACAGTAGTGTAAAGTACAAGAAAGGTAAACATATCACCCACACGCAAATAAACTTCAACCAGCCCCATCCTACCAGGCAAACTCCGCTGAGGTATTAACGTAGTTTTCCAAAGCGACCTGGCCACAATTGATAACTCAACAGAGTAGCCCATCATTTGGACATTTATAGCAGCAAAATAATTAAATGGTACTGCTGCTGCTACGTTGGCAGCGGTGCACGAGCACAATTAACACGAACAACTACTCAACGCCGTTCGTCCAATAACAAACTGTCTGCACAATGGTGTTGCAGTGCATGAAAAAGGGCCAATGCCACAAAATGTCGCCGATCTTATCTCTTTTTCTTAGCTTGTAGGGCCAGTGTTGTTGACGAACGGTGGTCGCGGTTTTATTTGTGGGACGATGCAAAAGTAGATTTGTAAGGAGTGCACTGCGGCAATGCTTTGAGGTAATGTGGTTGTATTTTTGCATGGCAAAATGATGACGAAGCCACAATAGCTGTTGGAAGAAACAGTTTGGCTGTGGAGATATGTATTTGTAAAATGATACACTGTGGATGGCAAAGAAAAAAAGGCAATCATTGACGATCGTTTTCATACAATTTATGGGGTCGTTAGAAAAATAAAACACGTTTTCATTAATGTCACGATTATTGGCCACTCTATGGCTTTTTCTGGCCCTGCACAAGACTTGGTTTGCATCGATCAACAGTGACCCCCAGATTGGGCTGAGCTAACCTAATCGAGACATTTAACATTCATCTCGTAATTCAGGGTGACCATCGATAAAAGTGAACGAAAAACTATGACAGCCAAAAAAGGGTTGTCAGCTATTATATCAAATGTGCCGGAGAATTAGTTGCGTTTAATAAAGCCCTAATCTCAAAGGTGATGTTACGATGAATAATATCAGATATAACAATGTCAATTACTGCCACGTGCTCGCCAGTGTTATCGCTGACAATCTCCGACGTCCGGAGATTGTGACCGATTTCGGATCTGCCGTGACAATTTGAAACTCGACCTCAGCTGACCGTTCGTGGAACCAAGGCGCCGGCGTGTTTTGGGCCCCATCTCCGATGCGTGGCTCCTGCGGGGAGCTTGGCACCTCTCCCACTTGCCATCATTCCCACCTCCTCCCCCCGCCACCCCGTCCAATGCCAGAGAGAAGCGAGATCACCATTTTGTGTTAAGTTGAACCAGGTTTTCTTGACGTTTTGCGTTAGCTTGTTAAAGCCCAAGTTTATATTTGCTGTCGTTATTCCATATTGTGTGTGGTTATATATAGTTGTGTGTGTACATATGTATGGGGAGCGGTAGTGCCGTGGTTAGTGCACTTCACTACGAACTCGAAGACCCGAGTTCGATTCCCGCTCACGGTCAACACCAGTGACAATTATCTGAACCAGTCCTGGGCCTCTCCTGGGTCGACTCAGCCTCAAATGAGGAGCTAGTGCGGTGTGTAAACGTCGCTACTAAGGAGAAAAAGGACGGTCGGGCATGTTGTTGGCCACCCACCCCCATCGTGTACCGTGCCGGCCATAAATATGTTGCTCGCTAACTGCACTTGCCCCATCAGTCTGTAAAGGCTATATGGGGGATCTTTGTCTTTTAATATATATGTAATCACGGCACTGAATGACCTCTGCGAGAGATGCCATCGACAGCGTGCATCACTTCTGCGTTGACCCCTGTGACATCAAATCTGTTAACGAGGACAGTTCGGCTGAGAGAGGGGATGAGCGTCTCTCTGGGAGCCCCCAGTAAAGAGTTGAGCCATGCAGGCCCCGGTAGCAAGCAGCTCGAAGACTGCTGTGGGTAACCAGCCTTGCCCAGTCGACGTACCGGGCAAGCGGTCGCTGGAAGGCAGCGTTAGATCGGAGCCGAGCGGTGGGGCTGTGGCCGACAAGACGGTTTGACCAGGGCCCGATTAAGATTGTGTAGGCCCCTGAGCTACAGGTACTGTGATGCCCCCAGTGATATTTTCAAAAGGAAAAAAAAGTTAAAGAAAAATAAAATGTTCTTTTTACAAGGGCAACAACAAATATAATGCAGCACTCACAAATAAAATAACTTTTCACTTAGTCTCTGGAGGCCTTCCAGCTGGCGGAGGCCCTTGGCCTGCAGCCCCTAAAGCCCCCGTGCCTCAATCCGGCCCTGCGTTTGACGCCTCTGCTCAAGGCGAGGCCCGGGCAGCCGGTGAAATTAATTCACGGCGGCGCACGTGCATCTGCACTCTTCCATCTCCAGGACTTAATTGCTGGGTGCTTAAGTGCTGTGTCACGATCAAAGAGCGGACCTTTGTAAACCACACAAATAGACGGCTTTCATTTTCTTGTTGTCAGTTAGGCTTGGTCGTGTTTGTACATTTTGCAGCTGTGTTCAATGTCGTTTGAATTGTTTTTAGTGTTGCCTTATTTGGGTCGTGTTTGAGATAAATAATAAACTTTTAAAATGTATGTCCTGTGATGGCTGGGAAATGTATTTGAGGCACCATCAGCATTGGTATTTTAAAAAATCTATGCGTATATGGATTGTCTTTGAAACAATGTGGCAAAACGTTTAGATCACATGAACAGACCTTTATTTTTAGGTCTCTTGCAAATAAGATCTTTTAGGGGCCACGTACCTGTAGCTTTACAAGTGGAAATTTTCAACCATTTGTACCAAGAAAACATACTTTTTTGGACGCGTAAAACTAATCGCGAATGTGAAATGTTACATATTTCACCGTAATCATGAGCGTGGGAATGTTACTTCTTTGATAGAACCATTCACTTTGCAGCAGCAGCAACAGCAGGATTAACGTCCAACGCGGCGTTTCCAGAGTGAATAGACGGATACTGTTCTTATTTTTGGACAACACCGCTGCTGCATATTTTATAGGATATATTACAGGGGATGACAGCGTGTTGGCAACCGTAGAAAACATTGTATTCACCGCGAGCAATTTTATCTTGAAACACGATCCAGTCGTCCTGCCACCATGCACCGACCTCTCCCAGCCACCCACCCACCCACCCCCATCTTTACTTCACCAGTACGAGCCCTGCAGGCCGAATCACCGGAGGCCAGGCGCCGTGTCCGTGGCCGTGCACACAGGGGCTGATTGTGCGCTTTGGGGAGAAAGACTCTACTCTCGCCGAGCGCGCGCATTCCAGGTGCGCGCGTTTAACGGCGGGGGGGGGGGGGCAGGGAGGGGGGCTGGTAAACGTATCCGCCGCCAGGTGACTCGCCGGAGCGCACACCGCGGATAGGTGGGAACGGCCGCGGTGGCCGCCACGGTGGTGGCTGTGATGACGACGACGGTGGCGAGAGAGGATGGGCCGTCAGGAATGCCCCCCCCCCCCCTCGGGCTGGACGCGGCGGTGCGCACGGCACGCCGGGCGCGGCGTGAGCACGCAGAGCAAAGAGCCGACGGGCACCAAAGCGTCCCGAGGTGCCCCTTTCTGGCTTCATGAAAACAATGGGAGCAATGGACATCAAGATAATTATCCTTGAAAAAAAAGATGAATTCTCTCTCATCCCTATCTCGTCTGGTCTCTCTTCTCTCATCTCACGACATCTGTCCTTTGTCTACATTTTCTCTCATCTCACTACACCTTTATCTCTCGTCTATATCTCTTCTGTCATCTCACTAGGCTTCTATAAATTGAAAGGGGTCCCCAATCAATTGTTTTTTTGCCGAGCGCCCCAATCGGCCAGCACCACCACTGCGCACGCACGTCCAAGTCACTCACGCCGGCGCTAACCAATCACTCCCAATTGCTTAATGATGCTTTCCACATTGCCCTTAAGTCTGAGATTTCTACATCAAGTTTTAATCGGCCACGAGATTGATTCATGGCGATGTGTCTGGATGTGTTTTTTTTTTTAACACGGTCTCTTTGATCGTGCTCCGCTGCCTATCCTCATCGCAGAGCGCGCTGGCTTGATGGAGCCACGATGGCCACGTGTGCAGGAAAACATGGTGGCGAGAGCGGGGGGGGGGGGACATTTTATTCTGCCAAACATGATGTCTTGATTGGCTTTGTGTAATGTTACAATGTTATGGCTATTGGGTGAGCAGAGACAACGGCTGATAATTCTTTAGCTCACGGGTTTTAACCCCCACCCCCAGTTTAGCCTTAGTAAAGAACTCTTAAACCTCTGAAATAAGGGCTTCGTTTATCGTGGAATATTTTTCTCGGGGCCCCCCACAACGGCCCGGACCGGTGGGAGAAATGTGGGTTGTGGAGGGGCAGGGTCAGGAGAAGGGCCAGCTCCAGGCAAGGCAGCTCCACGGCTCAAATTCATCCCCGCTCTCAACGGCAGCTTAGGGGTTGGTTTGCATTAACACTCTGACACACCTCGTGGTAGGCCGAAACTTGGTAACGAAAAGCCTCCGACGGTTTCCCCCCGAACAATTGTACCCGTCGCGAGGTAAGTCGACTCGACCCTACGACCTGGCAACTATTGCAGGGATTAGAAATGTATGGCCCTTTGGGTATCGTTCAGGTGAAAACTCCGCAAAGCTCAGAGACCTCGGCCAGAATATTTTCGGTGATCGTTAGAGGGCACCACCATGTAAGTCCGAGACTAACCATCGCGGTTGTGCTGTACAACGGCACTCTGGCGTGTGTTATGGTTGTAGCACCTCCGATTAGCGAACGGAATTGAACGTGCATGCGTGCATGATGTCCGACGTTTCACTTTCTGAATTCAGTTCCCGAAGAAAATCTCCCGGCACGTGGAGCGAGACGGCAGGACATCGTTCGGAACAACGCGGCAAATCCAGCCAGACAACGAATCTGAGAGCAATGAAGCGATGCAGGATCTCTCTGTCTCTTTAAATACAATATCGTC